TGTGTGTGTGTGTGGCTGAACTTGAACTGAACTCGTTGATCTTCTTGGGTGTTTCCCGTTGTCACCAATTAGTGTTCTTTGCAGTATCTCCTCTCTATTTTTAACCAATTACTTTAATAATGGAAGCCCTTAATTTCCCTGTTTATAAACTTTAAAGTTGTGTAATTCCCTTTACACAATGGATATAATACCAACTTCCAAGTTTGTCGATGTTCTTGGAAAAATTTGAATATTGGTGTTCCAACTCATTTCAATTATAGGGATTGGTGCACCTTTCAAAAGCAATTGGCATCATTCCTGTTGGAGGAGCAGAATACACATGACTGCTGACTACCCCCCAGAAACAACACCCATCTGTTGCCCAATAAGACATATCAGACCTTGTTCTTTTGGTTAAGGGCAATGGCCACAGCTTTATTAATTAATCAATTCCAGCAACTATTAACCACTGTTGGTTGTTGGGATGCTTCACCAACAGACAGATCTATCCCTTTAAACCATGAGTCCGGAGCAGCCTGCCCCCGCCATCATATCCCGGCAGGCTGCCACTCCCCAAGCCACCTCTGCACCTTCTTCCACTGATGACTGCGCTGGCCAGGACTCCCGCCACTGTGATGACGATGTTAGTTGCTACCCCTTGTCGTCATCACACCCCCCGGAGGCAGCACAGCCTCCACCCCTGCCTGAAGGCCCGTGTTCAAGGTGTCCAACCCGATCAAGTTGAGATGGTCCCCGTCCCTGCGAATTAAAGATAGGTTGGCGCCTTCCAACCAGGGCCGGATTAACATAGGGGCTGATGGAGCTGCAGCTCCAGGCCCAGGCCCATGGAATAGGCCCATTTAAAAAAAAAAAAAAAAAATTTTTTTTTTTTTTACACACTACTCTTAGGTTTGCCACCTGACTGGTATTTTACTAGCACAGCTGGTATTTGAGGCTGCCGTGCAAGTATTGCAGTAATACCGGCAATACAAATGCAGGTAATTTTCTCAGAATAAATGGAAATTACTCTGCAATACCAGCACCGGTCAGTAGGGGTCACTGTGTGTGGAGAGAGGCAGGTATAGGAAGTTACAGAATATCCCTGCCTCTCTCTACTACTCACTGATCTGTGGGGGAGCAGCTACACAGCATAGAGTCCAGACAGCAGCTCTACAGCTCAGGTGAGGGATGGGGGGAAAGGTAGCAGGGACACATGGGGACACTGAGACACTAGGGGACATATGGGGACACTGAGACACTAGGGGACACAGACACTGGGGGACACATGGGGACACAGACACTAGGGGACACTGAGACACTAAGACACAGACACTGGGAGACCTTGGAACACTGAGACACTTGGGGACACTGGAAAACATGGGGACACCGGGACACTAGAGGACACTGAGACACTAGGGGACATATGGGGACACTGAGACATTAGGGGACACATGGGGACACAGACACTAGGGGACACTGAGACACTAGGACACCTGGGGACACAGACACTGGGAGACCTGGGGACACAGACACATGGGGACACTGAGACACTTGGGGACACTGGAAAACATGGGGACACTGAGACACTAGGGGACACTGAGACACTAGGGGACACTGGGACACATGGGATGCTGTAAGACATAGGGACATTGGGAGACATTGGGACACGGAGACACGATGTTCCCATGTCCCCCAGCCAGTGTCCCTAGTGTCTCAGTGTCCCCAAGTCTCCCAGTGTCTGTGTCCCATGTCTCTCAGTGTGCCTAGTGTCCCCATGTGTCCCAGTGTCCCTATATGTCCACAACTGTCCCCATGTATCCCCAAATGTCTGTCTCCCAGCCAGTGTCCCCTAGTCTCCCAGTATCCCCTAGTCTCTGTGTCTGTGTCCCTAGTGTCTTAGGGTCCCCAAATGTTTCAGTGTCCCCATGTCTCCCAGTGTCTGTGTTCCTAGTGTCTCAGTTTCCCCATGTCTATGTCCACAACTGTACCCATGTCTCCCAGTGTCCCCAAGTGTCTGTCTCCCAGTGTCCCCTAGTCTCCCAGTGTCTGTGTTCCCATGTCTCTGTGTCCCTAGTGTCTTAGTGTCCCCAAATGTTTCAAATGTCCTATATGTCCCAGTGTCCCCATGTCTATGTCCACAACTGTCCCCATGTCTCCCAGTGTCCCCTAGTCTCCCAGTGTCTGTGTTCCCATGTCTCTGTGACTTGCGAGACTGAGACACTGGGAGCAATCCATCTATACAGCAGAATCAAACTGTGAGTAGTTTGTTGGTGATTTTACAGAATTTTCTCTGCTGTCACTCCTTGTGATTTACATCATGTGATCTCACGCATAACTAATTAATTATACAAATGATTAAGGCTGGTATTTTTTTCCAAGAAAGGTGGCAACCTTAACTACGCTTCACATATTCTTGCTTAAAGGAGCACTATAGGGTCAGTAACACAATCATGTATTTCTGACCCTATTATGTTAAAACCACCACCCTGGCCCCTTCTTGCCTCCCTAAATATAGTAGAATATTACTTGTATTCAAGTCTGCAGCTGCTGGCTTAGAAGTGGTGATCTGAGCAAATTACAATACTTCCCCATAGGATTGGCTGAGACTGTCAACTAGGCAGATCAGGGGCAGAGCCAGCATAAGTCTAACATAGCCCTGGCCAATCAGCATCTCCTCATAAAGATACATTGAATCAATCATGAGGAAAGTTCAGTGTCTGCATGCAGAGGGTGGAGACACTGAATGGCAGTGTTGCAGACTAGGCAGTACTGCCCCAGGAAGCACCTCTAGCAGCCATCTAAGGAGCGGCCAGTGGAGTTATTTTCTCTTAAAAGACAGTGTTTACTGCAAAAGGCCTAAATTGAAAGCTACTTCTACTTACCAGAACAAATACAATAAGCTGTAGTTGTTCTGGTGACTATAGTGTCCCTTTAAGTTTGGAAGCTTAAGAGGGATGTATGGGAACAAAACTTGTGTGCACTGGCTGACATTAAAGTTAGTTTAGGTAATGCAGACGTTGGTCTCTGTGGCATGTCCCCTTACTTCTACACTCACTACATACACTACACTCACTACATACACCTTTTCTCTGTCTCAGACTATATATCAAGAACTTCTGCCTGCTAGTAAGAAGGTAAGGAGACAAGTGGACCAGCGAGTGCTAGGGGACCGTCCTTAGAAAGCATGGAGCGAGTGCATCATTAGATGCATTTATGTCAAGCTCAAGGTGCTGCCTGCATAGTATGCCCTTAGTTGGACAGCCTGCAGGATCGGTAGGCAGCCTGACATGCATTCATGCCAGGCTGACCTTCCAATTGTTTGGACAAACATGCCCCCCTTTTAGCAGGTCTTATCACGTGATTCGCGCCAGTGGCACACCCTTTTACCCTGCCCATTGACTTCCTGCTTCACTGGACACTGCTGTTAGGGGGTTTTGGATTTACTTGAAAGATGAAAGCATAAATTAGAGAGAAATTAGCATAGAGTATGTGTTTTCTTATAGCTGCATTCTATGAGTTTCCCTCCAGCACCATCTCCATCAGATACATGACGCTCGGGAGGTATAATTGTTTTAGTGTTTTTGGTCGATAAGATTCCATAATTAAGCCCATCATAATTGTCAGCACCAGGCCCACTGTGCTCTTAATCCGGCCCTGCTTCCAACTATATATGCCTGACTACCTTGCCTCCCAGCCGCTGCACACATTTCCCCACCATTATGTTGAGCTTGCACAGGCTTCTCTCCAAACCATGTGCGTGCGGCAACGCCTGCCTGCACATCTTGGGGACCACTTTCGACTAAACCACTGTGAGATCTGTAAAAAGAGCTAAACACCGAGCCAGGTCGTGCCGGATCGCGTGGATAAGATCCACTGTCCTAACCTGTCTCAAGTTCTTACCGCCACGGTGAATAACCAAAATAACTGGCCCCGAGACAAATCTGCGCAGCGCAATGCATTCCGGATATACCTTCTGCCATAGGAGACCCCTAATTCCCCACCATCTAACCCATGCTACCTCGAAGGAAAACCCCAAATTCCGTCCATATGTGCGTTCTTCCACTCGACAAGCAGCCCAATATATGAAGGAATGCCCCAATATCAAGACATAGCAGGGACTTGAACCTACATCGAGAAGAACATTATAACAAATGAGGCCTAAAGTAGGACCTAAAGTGCCCAGATTCCCATCTACCAATGCGCTTAATCTCAGCAGCCGAATAGCCTAGCAAAGTCCCTTGAGTGGCGGCCCCAATCCAAAAGGAATGTGCCAAGTACCCATGAGCATCCTCCCTGCAATCCGACAATGCCCTGCGTAACATTGCCATGAATTGGTAACGAGTCAGCGAAGACCCATCCCCATACACTAACAGGGGGCCATCCCTTATAGACCGAATGCTCAAGTACCTCTGAAAGGCACTAACCGGACAGACATCGCCCCATGTCGCACCGATCCGTACCCATGCACTATAAACCTCCCAAGCTGTCTTGGACCGCTGCACGAAGATATCCATCGATGACTCCGACCACCGCGCCTCCGATAGAGACAGCAGCGAAGCCGACCGCCAAAAAGGTACCACTAACTCACCTATCCGGAAAGCCCCCAAAAAATAGAAAGAAAAGGTCACCCGAAGGAGGCGAGACTCGAACTCTGATGCGCAGATGACAGGCAAAACCAACAGTATACGCCCCAGTGTTTCTGCCGAGATATGGCGACGGCGATCCAGACACCTCCAAAGCCCCCAACCCCGCAAGATCTTCTGAATCCCAAATATGTTCGTCAGGTCGCGCCAGCCCATAAATCGGAATAGGAAGAACAACGCCGCCAGCGCTTTTTCAGCCGCAGCACAAGGCCTACCTCGTCTGAGCATCCCATCCAAAAATAACAACATCGCCTCGAGGAGCCTGGACTCTGTCGACAGCCATTGGCCTCATACAGCTTGATACTGCCTCCAAGAGCTCCCATAAGGATGTTGGATAACTGACCGATTCACTGTGCTTCTGGTGCTGACTCCTGAAACCGGTCCCACTACAACCGAGACAAAGCATCAGCTACCACATTCTCAACCCCCGGGACATGAGCAGAACCAGCCGTCGCAGCAGCGCCAATACTGGGGGAGAGGATGACGACGACCGGGTGATCACATTCATGTTGTCCGTGTGAAAGACCCCTGTGCGATTCCTGAGGTCCTCACCCCATAGTTCCAGGGTGTCAGGATTACTGTTTGATCCAGCACGTAGAACTGTACAGCACGGATGACAAATAAGTAACGTATTACCGGTCCTTAGAATGGCCGGATTTAACGTACAAAGAATAGTCAAAAATACTAGCGAGGTCAGGGAACACAGAAAGGGACACAGCGATGAGGAAAGCCAGGAGTCAGGATACCAGAATATAGAGAAGTCAATAAACAAAGCCAAAGTCAAAAACCAGGTAGAAAACTATAAACAGGAACGTGCTCTCGGACAACCACAAGGGAAACCACGACAGGGCACTGAGCAGGCTGAGAACTGGGCCTAAATACCAGTCGTTTAGTTCTGATAGGCTGTAACTGGCCTTTGACCCCAAAGTCAGTTACCAGGTTTTATTTGCATAATTGCTGCTCAGCATTAACCCTTCTGTGGATTAGGTTGCTGCTCAGCACAACTTTTCTTGTTTGGACAGTAAATGTTATTAACCAAATTTCTATAAGCGGATGAATACGTGACATTACCCCCCACCTGAAGAACGCCCACCGGGCAGACAGGACCAGGCTTGAGAGGAAATTTAGCGTGAAAAGCGCAGATCTTACAGCCCGCATGCAGGTCAGGAGCCGAAACCCAAGAACGATCAGCAGGACCGTAACCTTTCCAAACAACCAAGTACTGTAAAGTGCCCCGAGAAAACCTAGAATCCACGATAGAAGATACCTCCTACTCTTCCTGACCACCCACCACCACCGGAGGGGGAGGAACACAAGGAACAGTATATCTATTGCAGACAAGAGGTTTGAGTAAGGACACATGAAAAGTGTTGGGAATCCCTAAAGATGCAGGAAGAGCCAGAGAGTAAGACACTGGATTGATCCTACGAAGCACTCTCTAGGGACCAAGGAATCTGGGGGCAAACTTCATGCTAGGGACCTTAAGCTTGATGTTGCAAGATGACAACCAAACCCAGTCCCCCACTTGGTACACCGGGTTGGCACTCCTACGCTTATCAGCAAAATGTTTGAAGCGTTCAGCAGCAGCCCCTAGAGCAGTTTGAACCTTAACCCAGGTATCTCGAATGGAGGCCAGACGCTCATCCAGAGCAGGAATGGCAGTATCATAAAATACCGCAGGGAGAACCGTAGGATGCCTACCATTATTGACAAAAAATGGACTGTGCCCAGAGGAGTCATGAACAGCATTGTTTCTAGCGAACTCGGCCCACGGGAGTAGTTCGGACCAATTGTCTTGTGTGCTATTAATAAAACAACGAAAATAAACTTCTAATGACTGGTTAGCCCTCTCAGCTGTACCATTGGTCTGTGGATGGTAGGAGGAGGAGAAGGAGAGATCAATCCCCAATTGTTTACTGAGCGCCCTCCAGAACCTGGACACAAACTGAGAGCCCCTATCAGACACAATATTGTGGGGGATGCCATGCAAACGGACAATTTCACGTATGAAAATTAGGACCAAATCTTGCGAAGATGGCAACTTCTTGAGAGGAATGAAGTGAGCCATCTCAGAAAATCGGTCTACAACCATGAGAATAGTAGTGAACCCAGCAGAGCTAGGAAGCTCAACAATAAAGTCCATGGATAGGTGGGACCATGGAATCTCAGGAACAGGAAGAGGCTGCAACAGGCCACAAGGAAGTGCATGAGTCACCTTAGAAACTGCACACACAGAACATACCTGCACATACTCCTTTACATCTTTCCTGAGTGAATCCCACCAAAATGATCTAGTGATCGCGGCAGTGGACTTATTGATGCCCGGGTGTCCAGCAGTTATATTGTCATGGAACACTTTCATGATTTTAACCCTTTCACATAGGGGAACGAACAGTTTATCACACGGTTTACCACTGGGCGCCTGAGGCTGGGCCTCCAGTATAGTGCCAAGCAGTGGAGAAGACAGTGAGAGGACAGTAGTGGCAATAATACACTCTGGTGGAATAATAGGAGATGTCACCTGTTCCGGAGCTGACTCATTATCAAATTGCCTGGACAAGGCATCAGCCTTGTTTTTTTTAGAACCAGGTCTATAAGTAATGAGAAAGTTAAAACGTGAAAGGAACAGTGACCATCTAGCCTGTCTGGAAGACAAACGTTTGGCATCCCCTATATATGCCAGATTTTTGTGGTCGGTTATGATCAACAGGGGGTCCTTGGAACCCTCCAAAAGATGTCACCACTCCTTGAGGGCAAGAATAATGGCCAACAGTTCTCTATTGTATCATAGTTGCGCTCAGCAGGAGACATCTTTCTGGAGAAGTAGCCACAAGGATGCAATGGTGTTCCCTGGCTTTCTCTCTGAGAGAGAACAGCCCCTACCCCTGTCTCGGATGCATCAACCTCCAATATAAAAGGTTTACTACTGTCGGGATGTTTTAGTATGTCCGCAGAGGCAAATCTTTGTTTTTAGAGTCTCAAAAGCATTCACAGCCTCTTTGGACCATACCGTGCTACTAACCCCTTTGTGAGTCATATTTGTGATTGGGGCTATTACAGAAGAAAATCCCTTGATGAATCTTCTGTAATAGTTGGCAAAACCAATAAACCTTTGAATGGCTTTTAAACCAGAGGGTAATGGCCAGTGTAGTACAGCCTCTAGTTTTTTTTAGGATCCATTTGAAATCCCGATGCAGAGATGTTGTAACCCAAAAAGTGGACTTCAGGCTGGTCAAATATGCACTTTTCTAATTTACAATAAAGTTTATTTTTCAACAACGTCTGCAGAACCTGTTTCACATGGTAGTGGTGAGTTTGAAGATCAGGGGAATACACCAAAATATTGTCCAAATAAACCAAGACAAATGAGTAAATGAATTCCCTGAGTACATCATTTTATAAAGTCTTGGAATACGGCCGGGGCGTTGCATAACCCAAATGGCATTACCAGATATTCATAGTGTCCACTACGGGTATTAAATGCAGTCTTCCACTCATGATTCTCTTTAATTCTAACCAAATTGTAAGCGCTCCTAAGGTCAAGCTTAGTAAATACTTTAGCTCCCTGAAGTCTATCGAACAATTCGGAAATGAGTGGAATAGGGTATGCATTTTTACAGTGATTTTATTAAGTGCCCTATAGTCTATGCAAGGGCGTAACTCACCACCCTTTTTCTCAACAAAAAAGAATCCTGCACCAGCTGGTGAGGATGACTTTCTTATGTGCCCTTTGCTCAAGGATTCTTTGATGTATTCCTCCATTATTTTACTCTCCTGGGGAGATAAGGCATAAACTGCCCCCTTAGGTGGCATAGCGCCTGGAAACAGGTTAATGGCACAGTCACAGGGCCGTCTTTAACGCGGGGCAAACGGGGCAGCTGCCCCGGGCCCAATTACTCCTGGGGGCCCAAGGCAGCTGTCCCGTGGGCCCCGCTGCCCTAAAAAAATAAAATGTTTCCCGGCCGCTTTAGGGCCCCCCCCCCGCACTGTAAGGAGTCCCACCGGGTGGCCCATGCACTTAGGGCCACCCGGTGGGCTTGTACCAGCAGGGGCCCGGTCGGGCGCTGTGGCCCTTTAACAGCGCGACCGGGCCTCTTGCTTTTCGGCACCGCTGGGAGGAAGTGAGTGCCAAGCGTCACTTCCTCCCATAAAGAGCTGCTGCGCGGGAGAAGAAGGACCTGCACGGGAGGGAGGAGGAGGCAGTGAGGATGGGGGCTCCTCACTCACATCATCCTCAGGCAGCACACTGGATCCCAGGGATGCCACCCTCCAGCGAAAGGTAGGAAACTGGAGGGTGGGCTTAAAATGTAAATTTTACATGTATGTCAGTTTGTCTGTGTGTATGTGTGTCAGTATGTCTGATAGTGTATGTGTCTGTGTGTGTCAGTATGTCTGTGTGTATGTGTGTCAGTATGTCTGATAGTGTGTGTGTGTGTCAGTATGTCTGACAGTATGTCTGTGTGTATGTGTGTCAGTATGTCTGATAGTGTGTGTGTGTCAGTATGTCTGACAGTGTGTCTGTGTGTGTGTGTGTGTGTGTGTCAGTATGTCTGACAGTGTATGTGTCTGTGTGTGTCAGTATGTCTGTGTATGTCAGTATGTCTGATAGTGTATGTGTGTATGTCAGTATGTTTGACAGTGTCTGTATCTGTGTGTGTGTCAGAAGGTCTGTGTGAGTGTATGTCAGTATGTCTGACAGTGTATGTCTCTGTGTGTGTCAGTATGTCTCTGTGTGTGTCAGTATGTCTGGTGTGTGTGTGTGTGTGTGTGTGTGTGTCAGTATGTCTGGCAGTGTGTCTGTGTATGTCAGTATGTCTGATAGTGTATGTCAGTATGTTTGACAGTGTCTGTATCTGTGTGTGTGTCAGGTCTGTGTGAGTGTATGTCAGTATGTCTGACTGTGTATGTATCTGTGTGTGTCAGTATGTCTGTCAGTGTGTGTGCCTGTTTGTGTGTCAGTATGCCTATTAGTGTGTATGTGTGTGTGTGTGTGTCAGCATATCTATCAGTGTATGTATCTGTGTGTCAGTATGTCTCTGTGTGTGTCAGTATGTCTTCCAGTGTATGTGTGTGTGTGTGTCAGGCACATACACTGATATACATACTGATACAGGCACACTAATAGACATACTGACACACACAGGCACATACAATGACAAACATACACTGATAGACATACTGACACACACACACATGCACATATACAGACATACTGACACACACAAACACACACTTATACTGATAGCTATCCTGACACACACACACACAGGCACATATACAGACATACTGACACACACACAGCCACATATGCTGATAGAGATACTGTGTGTGTGTTAGTATGTCTGTATATGTGCCTGTTTGTGTGTGTGTGTGTCAGTATGTCTATCAGTGTTTGTGCCTGTGTGTGTCAGTATGTTTGTCATCATATGTGCCTGTGAGACCGTTTGTGTCAGTGTGTCTTTCAGTATGTCTATCATTGTATGTATTTATGTGTGTCAGTATGTCTGTTTATCTGTCTGTGTATCTGTATGTGTCTGTGTGTTTATCTGTGTGCGTATATGTATGTAGTCAGTGTGTGTATCTGCTTGTGTGTCAGCATGTCTACCGGTGTCTGAGCACAAACAATAAATACAAATACACCCTTCCATTCAAACTTCAACATTACATACAAACACACTCCTGCATTGAAAGTCAACACTTCATACAAACACACCTCTGTGTTAAACAACAGAATTATATATAAACAAACCCCTACATTCAAAAACCAGCACTACACTTAAATGTACACTTGCATTCAAACTCTAACACCACATACAAACACATTCACACAAACATACTCCATACAAAAACATGCTTACATTCAAACACACAAACACAGTGCTAAATACAACCCTGCAAGCATGAGAAATTGGTAGAGCCCCAGCTGTCAATGCATTGTTGGAGTTGCATGACAGATAGGGTTCTACCTTCTTTCCAACCTTGTAATTGGGGGTCCAAATGAAATTCTTGCACCAGGGCTCTTTCTACTTTAGTTCGCCCACTGCGTTGGGGTGGAGGCGTGATTGCATGCTAGGGAGTGGATCCAGGGGGCCCAAGCAAATGCTTGCCCAGGGCCCAATCAATATTAAAGACGGCCCTGCACAGTCATATGCTCTGTGGGGAGGCAATACATCGGATTGAGCCTTGTTAAACACCTCCTGAAGTTCTTGGTATTGTATGGGAACTCCAGGAGTTTGGGGAGTGGTAGTGGGAAGGTCAATAGTATCCAATCTCTTTAGTACTGGTTTTATACATCTCCCCATACACTCTTTGCCCCATTCTAATATCTCCCCATTAGCCCAGTCAATATAGGGATTGTGCTTACTCAGCCACGGAAACCCTAATATGATAGGACATGATGGAGAAGTAATAACCTGAAGCGTCATCTCCTCCCTATGGGAGGCCCCAATGGAGATCGTAATAGGGACAGTTTCGTGGGTTATAAGCGGTTGTGTGAGTGGTCTACCATCAATAGCCTCTACAGCTAGCGGCGTAGGTCTCTCCCTGACCGGTATCTCATTACCCCTAATAAACTGGACATCAATAAAATTTCCAGCAGCACCTGAGTCCATTAGGGCACTGCAAGAAAACTTCTTGTTATCAAGGGAAATAGATACCTCAAGGAGGAATCTACTTTTGTTTTTGTTAGAGGACAACTCCATCACACCTAAGATCTGTCCCCTTAAGGTTCTTAGGTGCGGAAGTTTTCCGGACGCACTGGACAATTAGTTATCATATGTCCCTTTCTACCGCAATATAGGCATAATCCCTCCCTTCTCCTATACTGTTTTTCGGCCTCTGACAGTCTAGTGACCCCCAACTGCATAGGTTCGGGTTCGGACTGTACAGGGAGGTTAGACAAAACAGGTTTAGAGAATTGAGGTGCTAGGGACATAGCCGTACGTCTGGTCTTGCTTCTGGTGACTTCTCTGAGTCTTAACCTATTATCAATATGCATGACAAACGTAATAAATTCGTTAAGACTCTTAGGTAATTCTTTAGCGGCTATCTCATCTAGTATAGTCTCTGAGAGACCCTTTTTTGAATGCTGAGATTAACCCATTGTTAGTCCAGTCTACCTCGGAAGCTAAGGTACGGAATTCAATAGCATAATCCGAGATAGACCGGTTACCTTGTCTGATGTGCATTAGGGCAGTGGAGGCGTCATCCTCTCTACCCAATGGCTCAAACGTGAGCTTGAATTCGGCAAGGAATTCCTGGTAATTATGAGCTATGCTCCGATTACTCTCCCACAACGGATTAGCCCAGGCAAGGGCCTTGCCCTTTAATTGATTCATTAGATAACCAATTCTTGCTCTGTCCGTGGGGAATGACCCTGGTGAGGCCTCAAAATGGTACTCCACCTGATTAAGAAAACCCCTGCATTCCTGGATATTGCCATCAAACTGTAGGGATGGTGATAAGGAGATGCAAGGAGTCCTATTAACAGTGGGTGGAGGTACACAGGGTAGAGGTGCTATAGGGAGGAGACGCTGCAGGCTGCAGATGCTCCGTTCTAGCGAGAAGCGTACTTAAAGCCTGAGTGAATTGATCCATGCGGTGATCATTCTCCTCTAATTTCCTCTCGCAAGCAGCTATGTGCTGACACAGTTCTACAGGATCTATGGCCATGTCGTAATGTCAGGATTACTGTTTGATCCAGCACGTAGAACTGTACAGCACGGATGACAAATAAGTAACGTATTACCGGTCCTTAGAATGGCCGGATTTAACGTACAAAGAATAGTCAAAAATACTAGCCGAGGTCAGGGAACACAGAAAGGGACACAGCGATGAGGAAAGCCAGGAGTCAGGATACCAGAATATAGAGAAGTCAATAAACAAAGTCAAAACCAGGTAGAAAACTATAAACAGGAACGCGCTCTCGGACAACCACAAGGGAAACCACGACAGGGCACTGAGCAGGCTGAGAACTGGGCCTAAATACCCCTCCTTAGTTCTGATAGGCTGTAACCGGCCTTTGACCCCAAAGTCAGTTACCAGGTTTCATTTGCATAATTGCTGCTCAGCATTAACCCTTCTGTGGATTAGGTTGCTGCTCGGCACAACTTTTCCTGTGTGGACAGTAAATGTCATTAACCACATTTCTATAAGCGGATGAATATGTGACAGTGTTGTACTGAGTGGAGACCCCCTGCGGGGGTATGTGCATAAATACTGTGTGTTCAAAATAAAGATTACTGGAGGGAAGGAAGATTTAACACCTGTGTCTGCTGTTCCAGCTTGCAGGGGATGAAACAGGGAAAGTCTACTGGAGGGAAGGAAGATTTAACCCCTTTTTCTGCTGTTCTAGCTTGCAGGGCATGCAACAGGGAAAGTCCTTGTAAGGACTAAAAGAGCTAGTTCCCCTACCAGTTTCCCCTGGTCCCAGCTAGGAAGCAACCCCTCTGGCAGAGGTACCCAGCATGGGTACAGAGCGCTCCGCTACAGTGGCCACTTAGTCACAAACACTGGCCAAAGCTAGCGTTCATAATAGTTTTTTGCCTTTTTAACACACAAACAAATATAAATTCTAACTTTGACCAGTGTTTGTGACTAAGTGGCTACTAAAAGAGACTGGACATACCCCATATTAAATACCCTGGGTTGTCTACTTTAAACAAATATGTACCTGTGAGGTGTGATTCAGAGATTTATGACAGATAACAGTGTTACAATGTCACTATTGATAAATTTAAAAAATATATATTTTGAAACAGCAATGTCCTACTTGTACTTATAGCCCTATAACTTGCAAAAAATAATAATCCAAGAACATGTCAACATTGGGTATTTCTAGACTGAGGGCCGGAGCTACCTGTTAGGCGGACTAGGCAGCCGCCTAGGGCGCCCCTTGGGAATGGGTGCTGCCAGGAGGCTGACCCCATGCTGCAGCCGCCAAGCGCTCTGTAGAGCGCTCTGTAGAGAGCCTCAGGCGGCTGCAGCTTTGCCCGGGCTTCTTTCATCGTATTTTATAATTGTTTTTTAACCCCTTAAGGACTGGACTGTTTTTGCGATGTTGTACATTTGCGACCAGGCATATTTTGACACTTTTGTGGTGTTTGTGTTTGGCTGTAATTTTCCGCTCTCTCATTTACTGTTCCCATACAAATTACATAATGTTTTTTTCAGGACAAAAGGGGCCTTCTTTACATACCATTATTTATATAATCTCATGTATTTTAATTTAAAAAAAATAAAAATATATGATGAAAAATTTAAAAAAATACATGTTTTTTGACTTTTACTTGAAAAATCTTTTACTCATCTACAATAGCGAATGAAAAAAACTGCTAAATAGATTCAAAATTTTGTCCTGAGTTTAAAAGTACCCAGTGTTTACGTGCTTTTTTCCTTTTTTTTTGCATGTTATAGGTACAAGTAGGATATTGCGGTTTCAAAACATACATTTTTAAAATGTATCAATAGTGACATTGTAACACTATTATCTGTCATAAATCTCTGAATAACACCCCACATGTACATATTTTTTTTAAAGTAGACAACCCAGGGTATTCAATATGGGGTATGTCCAGTCTTTTTTAGTAGCCACTTAGTCGAAAACACTGGCCAAAGTAAGCATTCATATTTGTTTGTGTGTGAAAAAAGTAAAAAAACTAAATTGAACGCTAATTTTGGCCAGTGTTTGTGACCAAGTGGTTACTAAAAAGACTGGACATACCCCATTTGCAATACCTTGGGTTGTCTTCTTTTGCAAATGGTATGCCATCATGGGGGTAATTCTCATTCCTGGGCTACCATACGCTCTCAAAGGCAACGTAACCAACCTGGCCATTTTCAATGTAAAAATATTTGACCCATATATTTGACCTTGTAACTTTCAAAAATACTATAAAACCTGTACATGGGGGGTACTGTTTTACTCGGGAGACATCGCTGAACACAAATATTAGTGTTTAAAAACTGGAAAACGTATCACAACAATTATATCATCAGTAAAAGTGCTGTTTGTGTGTGTAAAATGCAAAAAAAGTCACTTTCACTGACAATATCATCGCTGTGATATGTTTTACTGTTTTGAATCACTAATATTTGTGTTCAGCGAAGTCTCCCAAGTAAAACAGTACCCCCCATGTACAGGTTTTAGGGTGTCGTAGAACGTTACAGGGTAAAATACAGTGCTAGGAAATTAAATTCTCTGGAATTTCGGCCTGGGTTGGCAGACAGGTCCCTCAAATTGCAATCAATAAAATTACTGAAGTATGTAAAAATATTACATAAATACGCACGTAGAATTTAAATATATATGCATATTTATATATTTGAAGTCTACGTGTATATTTATATAATTATTTATGTAATTTTGTATATGGACATATGTATATTTCGTATTATTTTTATTTATTTATTTATTTATATATACATAGATATATATATACAAATTAATTCTAAGTGTATTTTGATATAAATATATATATATTAATTGTAAAATACAGTTAGAATAAAATTTCATATAGATATATAATTTTTTTTTAATTTTTATTATTATTTAAAAAACATTTTATTTAATTTAAATTACTTATTATTTATATTTTATAATAATATAT